GCCGCGGCCCTGGGGTGGTACCTGGTGCGGGAACACACTGGCAAAATTTCAGCTTCAAAGCTTGCGTGGTTGGCCAGTTGAAATACTCGGACAGACGAACACACACACAAACAAACATACACACACACGCGCAAGCAAACACACACACACACACTGACAGGGTCGTTGCAATATGCGTTTTTGCTGCCTGTTGCAGCGCTCTAGCGGCACGGCAAAAACGCATATTGACGAGGGGTTGTTTGTATGTCTGCGTATCTGTGCGTCTGTGTATGCATCTGGCAAAAACGCATAAAAATGATCACCATAAATATTACGCAAGATTAATGAGCTATTGCGAAATGTTACTGACAGGGTCGTTCCAATATGCGTTTTTGCTGCCTGTTGCAGCGCTCTAGCGCTGCACGGCAAGACGCATAAAAAGAGGAGGGCAAGCAGACAACTCTTCTTTTCTGTTCTCCCATTATCTACTCTACCACTTCTACTCCCTCTTCCCCTCCTTTCTCCCGCTCGCGCGCCTCCCTTATCCCTTTGCAGTACGTTTACATTAGGAAGGGGCGCACTTTATTAATGCACTAGTGTGGAACTAATGTGGACTCTGCAGTTGTTCAATCCGGTACGCGTACAATTTAAAATTTTAAATTCATTGTTTTCCTAGTTTTGGGAACACATCAGCGCGTATATGGACATATGGCGATGGGTCAAGACAACTGAATTTGAAAAACCTCATGGACCGGCTGTCTACATTCACTGTGTTCTACACTTCTATCTCGCTTCTCAGAAACCAAAGTGTGGAATTCGTTTGAATTCGTCACAGATACAGATGAAGATTTTTACTTCATGTTAGAATAGATACAAACGGTAATTTTAAATGAAACTTTAGAAATAATTTGGCATTCGGGCGATTTACCAACTACCATCAGAAATAATAACAATAAAAAATAGCTACGACAACCTATTCACTCTCAATGAAAGGAGAAGACATCCAAATGTCTTTTGAGGTAGCAACTGCATGTATCCGCTGGCAAGGCTATTTGATAGCTAAGGCTGCTTACAGAGATTCTCAGAAAATTAAATCCGGTGGCAGGTTCAGCTCCGGCGTGTGCCAGTACCAATTTATCATCGGAACGAATGAAAACCGAATCGTAAGTGGACTGCCTGTCTCACTCGTGGAACGAAACCTCGACCTTTGCATGACAACAATGGTAATTCCTACTGCGCCAAGTCCTCCAGCTGTGGGAAACAGTCATCACATATTATTAATCTGCTTAGAGATGGAATAAGGAACTCGGCTGAATTTCTGCCAGAGATAGTTTTAATGCAGTTAAAAAACTGAAAGAAACCGGCGTTACTGGCTCAAACAGAAACACACACGGACTGTATTTTTATGCTTGCAAGTACTAAAAAAGCATTTGTGCAACTCGATGTGAGCGTCCCACAAACTCTTCCCACTTTTTGACAGCACTGCAGGAAAAAATCTAACCGAAAAAATTCAGTTCAAACTAGCACAAAAACCATAACTAGCACAAAAACTCTTCATAATGCACCCGATAAGCTGAACGTAACAAAAACCAGTGACAACCTCGTGAGACATCGCAGTAAGCAATAAATGGTTCGCTTCCTTCACAAGTTCAAATCAGCAACGTGAAACAAATATAACTGAGCCTCGTCAGCTCATGGGCAAGCTTTTATACTATATGGGTTAAAAGGCAAAGAGGAGGGGAGGGGGAATGCGTGTAAAAATATGGGCAATGGGTGGGGCATGTTTACTACCAGTCACGTTGTTTTGTCAATGCTCTGGGCAGCCTCCAGAAGACCAGCGATCACCGACCACACGCAAAGTCATTTGTTCACTCGCAAAAAGGATACCACTGGAATTCAGATGCGGGATTACGGGAGTGGCGATATTGATTGAAGTTGGGAGGGATGGGAGGAGGGATTGGATGAAGCTAGGGCAAGGGGCGCTTTGCGCGGAATTTTTCATCAATCAGTAGAAGAAGCAGAAGCCACCATTCCAGATAATTTTCCCCAAATCTAGCGCTTCTTTTCTCGCCTCACTACTTCCGGACGCATCTAGTCTCACCTCTTTCCAAATTTGGCATTGCCTCGAAGTTTTATTTTGGATTAATTTGGCATTTGTGATGTTTTTATTTTCAGATCTTTACTGCGACAAATATGAAACTATTTCATAATTATCATTGTAAAAACAGAGGTAATCGTAAGTAGCCAGAATGGTAATACGTGTGTACGGCAACAAACATAGACATGGCTGCCTCATTTAAGGGCTGCTAGAACCAAGTTGATGGCGGAAGTTGGTAGTGTCCATGTGTTACTATCAATTTCCCTCAAAACTTACGATTCAGTGGCGGAGAGATTAGCTTATCTTGGGTGGAGAAGTCGAATCTCTGACCATAACTAAAATAGCAGCCTACCTGTCAGTGCATTATTTGCGACAACTTCTTTACGCAAAATAACTTCAATACGCAATGACTCTTTTCAGCTGAAGGGTCGATGATTATGCAGACTTGTATTCTGGCATGCTCGTTTTGCAGGTAAAGGTAGTCGTCGACAGCTGCTTCAAAAGTTCCGCGCAATACCAATCACCGCCTTTCTCTTTTCCAAAATCATTTACTTCTTTGTGCACAAGTCACGCGAGGGGATGAGATGAAAAGTGATCCCTAAACACCAAACAGCTCCAGTATCTTCGAAATGAGAAAAACGAAATGAACAGAATCCAGGGAAGCGTAGAAACAGTAGAAGTCATTGGCGATGCGCACCAGGCGGGCCCGTGTGATCATGCGTTTTTGCAGTATTTCGCGCTGTAGTAAGATCATTTGGAATCTCAGTAGCTAGTTCGAATTTATGACATACTGGTCCTTGAAGTCCAGGAACTTAGTGTGCAACTACGTGGTACTTGAGCAGGGAACATTCCGTTAAAATTTTAGCTTTCCAGTTTTCCTGGTTCTCGAGTTTGCAATTTTCCCTCTAAAAATTTTGACGGACCCGTATGTGAGAACTACGCATAGCTGGCGGTGAACTTGAAATCTTTTAGTTGTACTTGGACAGGGAACATTCCCTCAAAATTCAGCTTTTCTAGCTTTTCTGGCTGCAAAGTTAGCAACTTTTCCGCCAAAAATTTGCTCGACCTTGTATGTGAACCACTTACACCTGGAGACTGAATTTGGAATCTTTAAGTTG